AGCAAAATAGCAAAAGAGAGATATTTTTTCTTCCAATTTAAAGTGTTCAATTCTCAAATCCGTTTCAGTTCGCCAGAGCTTGTAAATCTAGTGTACTACAGATTTTGAGACGATTGCCCTTGTATCTTTGGGAACAATACGTCTGAACTGTCAGCACTACATGAGGCATATTCGTCTTGCGACAAGAATTTACTCACCTCTGCTAAAATCTTTCCGTTTTTTGTAATTTATTTTCAGTTCTATTGTAATTTTACAATTTTGCAATTTAAGACATTGGTAAGAATTGGAAATACATATTTGTTTGTATGATTCCGTTTATTTTCAAAATAATTTTGGGTGTTATTATTTGTTGCCCCCAAATTATTACTTGTCGCCCGAAAAAATATAAAAAAATTATAAATTTACAAAAATATCCCTGTTGTAAAAAAAAGTTAATGAAAAAAAAATGCATTCAAACATCTATCAACTAAACTCGGAAGCCAAAGAAACGTCTAGAAGCTAAGCTTGGCAGACAAATAAACGTCCAACAAAAAAGGCCCGACCGTAAAAAACAAACGTCCAAAGGCTATGCTCGGAAGCCAATGGAACGTCCAAATGCAAAGCCCGACTCTGAAGAGAAACATCTAAATGAGAAGGGGAAACACATTTAAAACTTTTAAATTGCAAGCTTATTCTGTCGCTAAACGTCTAACTGAAAAACTTGAGCCATGTGAAACGTCCAAGAGTTAAGCGTTAAAGCATGTCAAATGTCCTTCATCAAAGCTCGCCTATGAAAGCAAACGTCTAGAAACTATGCTTGGAAGCCAGGCAAACGTCCAACATAAAAGCTCAATAGTGAAAGCAAACGTCCAAAAGCAAAGCTCCGAAGCCGAAGAAACGTTCAAAAGTGAAGCTTGTGGCCCTAGGAAACGTTTGACTGCTAAGCTTTGAAGCAAAACAAACGTCCTAGAGAGAAGCTTATGACAACAACAAACTTCCTTAAGGAAAACTTAATATACCCAGAAACGTCCAACGTGAAAATTTCCTCAATAATTTGATTTTTTCTACATATCACTCAAACTACTTTCCTACATATCTTACAATAATCAACCCAACATCAACCTATGCAACAAATCTTTAAAAAGATATAAAATTGTTATTTTATAATATACACTTATTTTTAATATAATTTTAATAATAAAATCGTAGTTATATATAATAATGACAAAATATATTTTTAATAGAATCATATGCAATCACATTTTAATAGAGTCGTAATTTTTTATTACTTTATAGATAATTCTCATAGTTATGAATGGATCTCACTTAGACTATTAGTCCAACAGAAAAGACTTCGTTTTTTAGTGAATCAAAGTAGAGGTGCATATTTTTTAGTGAATCAAAGTAGATGTATTGTATGCACGTTCATAATTACATTTTACGGGTTTAGAGTACTAATCATGGCCATGGGCCGGTCCGGCTTGGTCCGCCGATTCGACCTGAACTGGACCATGGTCAACAGGCCCAGAACCGAGCTCGTAGTTTGACTTGGCCGGTTCTGGGCCTCATGTATAAAAAATTTTGGTCCCGGCCAGCCCTCGAGATGGCCCACCATATTTTCTTTTGTTTTCTTAATTTGTTGACTGGGTCAGCCTGGCCGGTGGCCAGATATTGGACCGTTGGCAGCCTACTACTCTGGGCTGTTGAATGCTTTTTGACTATTGGAGATCGAACGATAAGATTTTTTATTGATTATTTCTAAATTCGATTCCACGGTCCGGGTCTCGGTTCAGTTTTGACCTACTAATAATAGTAGAAATTATATTTTTGTCCTAGTAAAAATATTTTACTTACTTTTATCTGAATTATTATTTTTACCTATCTCCTTCTTCTTCACTTTTACCAAAATCCATATATTCATCAATCTCCTTTTTCCTCTTCATTAAAAATTAACTCACCAATCTCTACATTATTCTTCATTAATCCACATGTCTAGTAATCCAACATCTTCGGGGACACATGCAAATAGGTAAATTATGTTAACCCCTAATTTTCGTTTTACAGTGATTTTCACTCACAAATAGATCTATTGATTTCTTAGTGTTTGAGTTATTTTAGGACTTAGATCATTAAATCCTCTTCATATATGTTTTTATTAAACCAATGTGAGGTGTTCATTAGTATGGTGGAATGATTAGAGTGATAATAGATGTAGGTTAGGGTTTAAGTTCTTTCGGTGAACGTCCCAGATAAAAGCTAGAACATAAACTAAACGTCTAATAGTAAGCTTACACATGATCTAAACATCTTATAGTAAAGCTACATGACCTCAGAAACGTCTAAACATGAAGCCCGACTGTTAAGAGAAACGTCCCATTTGTAAGCTTATATGTCTCATAAACGTCTAATCCTAAAGCTTATAAGCACTTCAAACGTCTAAACCAAAAGTTTGTTTTTCTGCAACTAAATTTTATAGTTTTCTTCGTTTATCACCTATGATTATTTTAATATTTACTTTTCATCAAATATGTTAATAAAATTGTGTAATTTAACTATTGACAGGATGAATTTGAAGATTATACGCATTATCTTCAAGACATGCAAATACATAAGAGCTATAGCGAAACTCTGCATTATTGCTACTTTCTTGCCATATACTAAGGGTATGAGTTGAAATAACTTCAAAGCATTTACCCACCAGTGTAACGCATAGATGTAATCGGGCTAACAGAAAAAAATCGAAAGATGGAAGGACTCCAAAGCCAAGACAGAGAAAGAACACAAAGTCTAATACCAGGCCACGGTCCGGCTTGATCCGGTCAATAGATTAAAATAAAAAAGGAAAATATGGCGGGCCGTCACGAGGCAAGTCTGGACCCGACCCACCTGGTGAAATTTTTTTACACATGAGGCCAGAATTGTCCCGGTCAAACTACGGGCTCAGTTCTGGGCCAGTAGACCACGAGCTGATTCAGGGTCGATTCGATCGATTCTGGGTCGAACTGGCAGGTGGGGCCATCCCAACGTCATGACTAGTATGATGAACCCGTAAGATATAAACAGGAACGGGCATACAAAAACCTCTACTTTGATTCTCTAAAAATTGAGGTTCATTTTATTAAATTAATAGTCTAAGTGAGGTACATTCACAACTATCATAATTATTAATGGATATATAAGATATTAATTATATTTCATAACTAAGTCTTGACCATTGGACCTCAGCGGTCAAAACGATCTAACAGTCATATTTGAAATTTTATTGTTGGTTAACTGCTGTGGAACCGGCGGGCCGGTTTGAAACTAAACCCAGACCCGGACCGTGGATCCGAATTTAGAAAACATAAATAAATAAATTTTATTGTTCGATCTCCAATAATCATATATGAAAATTTGACCTGATCCAACAGTCAGATATGAAAATTTGACCGTTGGTCAACCATTGTGGAACCGACGAGCCGGGTAGAAACTGAACCTAAAACCGGACCGTGGAATCGAATTTAAAAAATAAAAAATAAAAAAGCTAGCAGTTGGATCTCCAACTGTAAAAAGCTTTCAACAATCCAGATAGTGGGTTGCCAACGGTCCAATACCAGGCCACAGGTCGGCTTGACTCGATCAACAAATTAAAAAAAAAGGAAAATATGGCGGGCCATCTCGAGGACCAGGTCGACCCACTGAGTCAAAATTTTTTATACATGAGGCCCATAACCGGTTTAGTCAAACTACGAGCTCGGTTCTGAACCTGTTGACCATGGGCCGGTTGGGCCGAACCGGCGGACTTGGCCGGGCCGGCCCATGACCATGACTAGTACTCTAAACCCGTAAGATGTAAACATGAACGTGCATACAATACATATACTTTGATTAACTAAAAATGAGGTCATTTCTATTGGACTAATAGTCTAAGTGAGATCAATTCACGACTATGAGAATTATTTGTAAACTAATAAAAAATTACGATTCTTTTAAAATAGGATTCGATTAAAAAAATATTTTGTCATTATTAAATATGATTACGATTTTCTTATTAAAATTATATTAAAAATAAGTGTATATTATAAAATAACAATTCTATATCCTTTTAAAGATTTGTTGCATGGGTTGATGTTAGGTTGATTATTGTAAGATATGTGGGAAAGTAGTTTGAGTGTTATGTGGAAGAAATCAAATTATTGAGGAAACTTTCACGTTGGACGTTTCTGGGTACATTAAGTTTTCCTTAAGGAAGTTTGTTGTTGTCATAAGCTTCTCTCTGGGACATTTGTTTTGCTTCAAAGCTTAGCAGTCAGACGTTTCCTAGGGCCACAAGCTTCACTTCTGAGCGTTTCTTCGGCTTCGGAGCTTTGTTTTTGGACGTTTGCTTTCACTCCCGAGCTTCCATGTTGGACGTTTGCCTGGCTTCCGAGCTTAACTTCTAGACGTTTGCTGTCATAGGCGAGCTTTGATGAAGGACGTTTCGTTTACTTTAAAGCTTAACTCTTGGACGTTTCGCATGGCCTCAAACTTTCGAGTTAGACGTTTAGCGGCTGAATAAGTTTGCAATTTAAAAGTTTAAATGTGTTGACACTTCTCATTTAGACGTTTCTCTTCAGAGTCGGGATTCACATTTGGACGTTTCTTGGCTTTCAAGCTTAGCTCTTGGACGTTTGTTTTCACAGTCGGACTTCTTTGCTGGACGTTTCTTTGGCTGCCAAGCTTAGCTTCTAGACGTTACTTTGGTTTCCGAGCTTAGTTGATAGACGTTTGAATGTATTTTTTTAACTAAATTTTTTTTACCATAAAAATATTTTTGTAAATTTATCATTTTTTATTATTTTTTGGGCGACAAGTAATAATTTGAGGCCACATATAGCAATCCTGATAATTTTGTAACATTAACTACGCACCAATCTGTTTCAAAGAATCTCTACACCCTTTCCTCTCAGCAGGGTGTAAAACAATTGGGGAAAGATCGCTTCAGACCAGAACAGAAATCCGAAGTCCCAGTGAGGAAGCGAAATAGCTCTAAAGTAGTGAAAATGGCGACGATCGAACCCCCGTCCTTTCAGGAAGCGCTGCGCTGTGATGTCTGCAAATGCAGCTTCTCCACCTTTCGCCGCCGGGTGATTCTTTGAATTATTATATGGCAATGATTATAATTGCTAGTTATATGACGAAGAGTATGTATATAATTATAACTACGAGTTTAGTCATTTGATACCAACCAAACATAAGAAATTTTTTGGAAATTGAAGATCTAAGTATGCTTAAAAGTCTTGAAGAATTTTGTAAATTGAAACTAATATAGAAGCATACAAAAACTTAACTGAGGCCCTAATTATTCTCAATATCAGCATTACATAATTTGAATTGTTTAAGGGATAAAGATTCGCCAGAGTAATAATTAGAGAAATGGACCAAGTTTTTATCTACGGTGATTTGTGCTGAAACTTTTATCTGCACGTAAATGCTGTGAATACTGAGTTGATAGACTCGTATTATAATGTCTGATTCGGGTCCAGGTAAAGCATTACTTTTCTTCGTAACTCTGGCAGAGCATGTACGTGCTTTAAAATTGTTTCCCTGCGAATTTGACCTTAACATTTATCTTCTTTAGGAATCTACTCAATTGCATTACGGATATGTGGAATGATTTTGTGGTCTTTATACTGCCTTATCATACATTCTTTGTTTGCAGCATCATTGCCGATGCTGTGGCCGGACGTTATGTGCCGAGCATTCATCGGATCAAATGGTATGCATTCTACACTGCACACACATCTGGGTATGCCTAAATCTACTTGAAGTCTTAAGCCTCTCTACCTTTTTTCCAGGCCTTGCCACAGTTTGGTATTCACACAAATGTTCGTGTTTGTGCTGATTGTTATAATGATGGCTCGAGGTAATATTCATTTGTATGGGCCGTTGTGTTCAATCTACTAACTGTTATGTTGTAAAGTGTAATTCTTTCGTTTTTTTTCTCATTTATTATTCTGCATTATTTGCTGGATGGGTGTCTTGTTTCTTCACACTGGAATCTAGTTCTTCTGAGGGAGCCAGACTTTTTATTCTTCATGCCATTATTATAAAGGATGGCTATTTGGATGCCTTGTATTTTGCTTTAGAATGTAGATAATTCTGCTTGCTCTTATCTTCATTGACCATCTGTTCATTCTTTTTCCCTGAAAATGGTACATTGTTTCTTATCAATCATTTAATTTAATAGTCGATGTGATGAACATTAAGGCTACTGCTGCATGAATAAGGGGTTGTGATGAACTGTCAAAGGACAAAAAAAAAAATAAAATGTATCCTTTATCTTCAACCATTCTACCTTACCTTGGGCAGACAAAGTGTTCGATGGGTCCTGGGGCATATGTTGTATCCCAAGTTATAATTCAATATTCACTCATCCTTTTCTTCAATACTTTATGCTTGATATCCTATCCCATGCCACGGGTTTATGAGCTTCAATGTTTTTGTTCTTGATCTTTTAAAGCAGTTCCAGTGCTTGGGCCTAATGGAGAAAAAGTCTAGTGTCACTAGGATTTTGGACCTTTTGTATTAAAAGTGGTCTCCAATGCAGACAAAAAAACACTATGTCTAGATGATGTGGCATGTGAAAAAGTAGATTAGGTCTCCACTAGGGTCCATTTTGTGACATGAGTGTAAAAATATTATTTTAGTAAGCAACTCATGATTATTCGTTTCTACATCATTTTAAACTCAAGTTAAATTATATTTTAATAAACCACTGATAATTAGTTTGTTCCACATCACTTTAGACCCAAGTAAAAAAATGCATTGGAGATATGGTCTATTTTTGTCTGTTATTTCTCCACATCATTCAAGACCCAAATCTATTATATTGAGAGCATCTGCAATGCATTGAGTCTAGTTTTGCCTATGCGGCATTTAAATAAACTCAAGTTTTAGATGAAATGGATAAAATTAACAAAATTCACTCCAATGCAAAGAGACTAAGTCTCTACTTGGGTCTAAAATAGTTTTGAGGGGAGACCGAGTCTCTTTTTCTTGCTCTGTGACCGTGTCATATAATCAGGACCTGGTCCAATTGTTCTTGCATTAGAGAATATATTTTTTTCTAGACTGGGTCTATTTCTTAGGTGACATGTAAATCTGTTTGAGTGAACCTAATGCATTGTAGATGCTCTGACAACTATGCAAAATTAGACCCAAAGTATAGCGTATGCTCTTATAGAGCTCATTTTTTTCTTCAAATTTTTAATATTGTTTCTGGCAAATATTGAATCAGATTATGGAAGGATAATGTGCCACCGGCTCCAAATGAAATTAATGCTGTAGGAGATTCAATTTCCAGATTAGATATCAGTACAGTTTCAGATGCCAAATCTGAAGTTGGTGCTGCAAAAACTTCTTTTCCAGGCATTTCCGAGTGCAAATGTGGGATGCCTTTGTGCATTTGCGAAGCACCTGCTCAACCGAAAGTTACTGCACAACCGCAGGCGAGGATAGTTTTGTGTGTATCAGTTTGCCCTCGTGAAATTCGCTAGTCCTTACATGTTAAGTTTTCATGCAGCCATCAATCACTACTGCAAATCCTCCACTTTACTCAATCCCAAAGCAAAAAAAGACGGAACAAGCTTCTAGGAGTAGAGGTTCAACATCAAACGGTTCACAAAGGTATGTGGCAGCTCTCTTCAAGTTACCGAAAACCTTTGGTAGCATCTAGTCACTACTTATAGATCTAACTTTACTGCTACTTATGTTATAGCAGTTGTTTTATAGATTTACTTGAATGATAATGGTAGAGCCATTAGCAGTTATTAGATGCTGCTAAAAGGTATTCGGGAAGTAACTAATCAAGATAATGAAGCTGTGCGTCTCCTTTACGATTCTCATGTATTTCACCAATGCAGTTTCTCAAAAAGAATATAGATCTCTTATGTATGTAAAGAAGCTCCATTATAAATTCATAACCATATAATCCCTTACCTGGGGCTCATTGCTTCCTTTTTAGTTACTTTGGACTGAGCAATTATTAGTATCTTCTTTATGTATATATTAAAAAGTGAAATTCTGCAGCACTTTTTTCTTTCCTGGTCAAGTTGCTAACAGTTCAGTGGATAGAGCATCCATCAATTACGAGGTCACTGAAGAGGTAAACTTGGAATGTTCGCCTCTACTGATTAAGTGAACCTTGATCTATTTTTCGCGTATGTATTCATAATTTTGTTCTTCAATTTTCAGGGTTTGAGAGAAGCAATAAAAAATGGTGATATTGCTGCTGCTAAGAAACTTTTGGGTCAGGTACTTCTTATTCTTTGCTCTCTAAATATGGAAGTTTAAATATCTTCTCTTTTCTAATTTGAACTTTGTAGGGAGTTGATGCAAACTATGGTGACAAGCAAGGCTCGTCTCTATTGCATTTGGTACTATTGCAGCTCTTACGTTTTATAATAAACAGAACTGCTTGTGCACTTAATTTGCCTCTTACTTGACTTGTATAATAATTGCAGGCAGCGGTTTTCAATCACACTGAG